TGATTGTACAAATTTCTTAATAATACACAGATTCAATTGATTAAGATGGATACTGATGACTTGTAGGCTGTAGAACAACCTACGTGGGCTTAACATAGCAAATAGTTAGATTTATATGATCAGTCTTCAGTAATAAGGATAGTAGGTTGTTGAACCTGTGTTAATCGTGACAGATCCTGGGTTCGAGTCTCGTGAAGTGGGATCGTGGATGTGCACTGCTGAGGTGTCCCATACTAGAACGAAACGGACGTTCAGTGCATACAGGTTTTCGATGTTGGTCTAGCTTCAATTGGCTCATGATTTCAACTATTGAAATGACTAAAATCTCCACAAAACCCCTTCTGATAACTTATTTATTGTTTAAACTTTGTTCATTTCTATCTTCTTAGGCAACAGACTGTTATTTTAAAAGATTCTAATCTTTTGTATTTTAATGTGTGATTATCAAGGTATAACTCACTTCATCATTTGTTGATTTGGCACCATTCAAACTAATAAATAATTAGATAAGTTCATTTCAACCGTTATTAAAATGTTGACCTGAATTATTTTGCCACCTAACAGCAGTCTCAATTCAACTATGTCCTGGACAAACCTATCCAGTTGTTTCCAGCTGCTATTTATTCTTTTGATATTTGCCTTTAATTTCCTGTACACTGTAGGTTTTGGTCTTCCTCTTTTCTGTTTCCCTTAAGGATTTCAAGTAAGTACTTGCCTCGTGATGCAGTTTGATGATTTCCTCAATGTATGTCCTATCCAGTTCCATCATATTTTTCTAATTTCCTCTTCAACTGGATGCTGGTTTTTTCTCTCCCACAGTAGGTTGTTACTGATGGTATCTAGTCAACGGATATTGAGTATCTTGCTTAGACAATTGTTAGTAAATACTTCGTTAGCACAATACCTTTATTTCATTAATTTTGAATCCAACGATTTGACAGTTCATACTTGTATTCATTTTAAAGTTCAACATTCAAAACTCCCAAATTTTCTAGCTAGATCAGTCCACAACAAAAACTGTCTTCAAAAACAATTTAATGTCAAAAAACCGTCAATCTATGCAAGATAATATTATTGAAATTATGAACCGATCTAAGTCAGATCACCATTGAAAACCTGGAAGTACTGGACGACCGTCCCGTTGTAGTGTAAGACTCTTCACCAGTGGGCACTCACGATCCCGCATATGAGAATCCCACCCAGGATCTTTGGCCTGAAATGAAGTTGAACAAGCTTCGCAATCTTATAGTGTCCATTGTCATGTACTCACTAGCGACTAGTTCCGAAAAGAAAATTTCGGATTTCCAGTAAAGTTTAGCTGTGTGTTGTATGAGGCAGTTACCCACCGAAGACAATAGAAGTCGATAGCGTAATACCGTAGATTGATTCGAATCAGACTTGTGCACCATTGAAATCTAATTCAGTGGTCTAGAGGTTAAACGTGCTTGTGCGAATCCGAGTTTTATAACTTCGATTATTTGTTGATGAGGCCGTCGATCTACATTACTGATGAGTTCCATATTAAGACTTAATTTCTATCTTATGCTTTCACGTCTTTAATGATTGTCTAATTATGATCAGTTCATGATTTCAATGAAATTCGATAATCTCCATAATGATCTCTTAGTGTGGTAAACATTTTTACAATGATAACAATAAGCTATTATCTAAAAGATACAAGTGTTTATTAACAACTGTCGACACAAAATATCTCGCATCCGTTTACCCAGACACTATCAACAACAACCTACTACTCTGGGAGAGAACAAACCAGATTCCAACGGAGGAAGAAATAAAAAAGAATCACTGGAAGTGAATAGAACACTATAATATTTGAAAGTACTCAAATTATCGTATGAACTAGGAATCCCAGAATTAACACAATTGAATCAAGAATAACGACACAAGCACGAACGAATGTACTGTATTTAGAATTCGAAATCGAGCATGCAACATGTACAACAATCATTAGTTAATTCAAACACCACAGACACACATAGAGGAAAGCACCCAACTCCGTCACAAGGAAAGCTCTCATCACTTAGAATCCTCAAGGCCAAAGAAGGAGAAGAGGAAGATAAAAGAAATGGAGACAGACATAAGAAGAATGAACATGAATTGGATAGATATAGAAAGGAAGACCGAGGACAGAGAGTGTATTTGAGAATGCTGGTCAACGACCTATACACTATTGAGGGTAACAGGCGTGAGTGAGTAAGTAAGTCTAGTTAACATATACTTCAGGTAGATATATACATTTCTATATTCACTTTATTTTGTTTTGTTTCTTCTTTTTTTATCACAGTCTACATTGAACTTATTAGATAACATTGATCCCGATCAACTATACTGTATCCTAACTGAAGTGATTCATCAATTATTCAATACAAGTGTAAGAACTATTGATTGTAATTTACTATGACATAACTTTATGAAATACACTTTCATTGAATTGTAACCCAAAAATGAAGGAATGTTCAATGGAATATATCGATTTCTTCAGTATTATTATTATTATTGTTATATCAGACTAAACAAATTTAAGAGGTCAATAGACTAAGATTATTCAATCATTCAATGTTTGGTTTTTGTTTATGAGGGTGTTTATAATTAAAATAGTTTCTCAATGTAATCACAGATTACTATTGTGGTGTGTACTACTGATATCGACAAATATAAGTAGTATGTATCATTAATAATTAAAAATGAAATACCTAGTGATAGATGATGATGAAGATCAAGGAGAAGAGAAGGTGAACAAAGAATGATTGATGTGGAAATGTAAGATCAATAAAGTCTAAGACGATTGATTAAGATTTTAAAGATGAAGTATTTACTGTATAGATCTTAGATGTTCTGTAAACTATTCGATTATCTCCATTTATGCTCTTGTTCACTATGTTATATTCGAAATGAATAATCTCAAAATGTATAATGGAAATTTATGACCATTATCCATTTACCCATTCAAGTTTCTAAATTGTAATTGAATGTCTTCAATTCAATGTTGTATATGATAAAGCTAAACGGATTGGTGGAGAATTGAGCGAGTTTCAATATAACTGCAATGATGAGTTAAATATTTCTAGGGCCTTCTCATTAAAGGAACTTTGATAAAGCACAACTTCAAATAAGTCAATCCTTTGAACGTTTAAACAAGCTAAGAAACTTGTTATACTTCTAAATTTCATATGACTATTTCATTTCAAGGTTACAGGACAAGGTTGGATGGCGAGTGCTAATGGTCAGCCTATGCTCCTCCACGAAGAGTAACAGGCGTTAATAAGTAAATAAGTCAAGGTTACAACATATAACTGAGAGAAGAATACTGATTATCAATTAGATACTAATCAAATTCAAAGATAATATAATGATGACAAATTTATAGGATTATGGATTACTTAGTAAAAGACAAGTAGTAATTCTAAAAGAGTTTAAAGATAATAGCGAAAAGAAGCTAATCATTGTTGACTGATTGTAAGTTAACTGTTACATGTTACTCAAGGAATCATTGAAACCAATATGGCTGTACTGGAAAATTTAAGTGTAGTAATAGCAGTTGAGCCATATGTGAAGGCGTGCAGTAGCATATCTACAATTGAAGAACATGTGGGACCCAAAACAACTGTCAACAAACAACAAATTCAGAATTTTTAATACAAATGACAATACAGTTCTACTGTATGGAGAGGAAACCTGGAGAACTACGAAAGCCATCATCCACAAGATACAAGTGTTTATTAACAGTTGTCTATGCAAAATACTTCGGATTCGTCTACCCAGACACTATCAGCAACAACCTACTGTTGGAAAGAGCAAACCAAATCCCAGCAGAGGAAGAAATCAGGAAGAAGTGCTGGAAGTGGATAGGACACACATTAAGGAAAGCACCCAACTGCATCATCATAAGACAAGCCCTCACATAGAATCCTCAAGGCCAAAGGAGGAGAAGAGGAAGTACGAAAAACACATTACGTCAATAAATGGAGACAGACATGAGAAGAATGAAGAAGAATTGGACAGAATTGGATAGGAAGGCCGACGACAGAGTGTTGTAGAATGCTGGTCGACGGCCTATGCTCCACTGGGGGGGGAGGGGGATAACAGGCATAATAAGTAAGTAATAGCAGTGGAGTATTTTTAATACCGTGGAGATTTATAATCGGAACTTATGACAGAAACATTATTATCTATGTGAGAGAAAATTCATACTATCAAATGAAATAGTCATATGAAATTTAGAAGTATAACAAGTTTCTTAGCTTGTTTAAACGTTCAAAGGATTGACTTATTTGAAGTTGTGCTTTATCAAAGTTCCTTTAATGAGAAGGCCCTAGAAATATTTAACTCATCATTGCAGTTATATTGAAACTCGCTCAATTCTCCACCAATCCGTTTAGCTTTATCATATACAACATTGAATTGAAGACATTCAATTACAATTTAGAAACTTGAATGGGTAAATGGATAATGGTCATAAATTTCCATTATACATTTTGAGATTATTCATTTCGAATATAACATAGTGAACAAGAGCATAAATGGAGATAATCGAATAGTTTACAGAACATCTAAGATCTATACAGTAAATACTTCATCTTTAAAATCTTAATCAATCGTCTTAGACTTTATTGATCTTACATTTCCACATCAATCATTCTTTGTTCACCTTCTCTTCTCCTTGATCTTCATCATCATCTATCACTAGGTATTTCATTTTTAATTATTAATGATACATACTACTTATATTTGTCGATATCAGTAGTACACACCACAATAGTAATCTGTGATTACATTGAGAAACTATTTTAATTATAAACACCCTCATAAACAAAAACCAAACATTGAATGATTGAATAATCTTAGTCTATTGACCTCTTAAATTTGTTTAGTCTGATATAACAATAATAATAATAATACTGAAGAAATCGATATATTCCATTGAACATTCCTTCATTTTTGGGTTACAATTCAATGAAAGTGTATTTCATAAAGTTATGTCATAGTAAATTACAATCAATAGTTCTTACACTTGTATTGAATAATTGATGAATCACTTCAGTTAGGATACAGTATAGTTGATCGGGATCAATGTTATCTAATAAGTTCAATGTAGACTGTGATAAAAAAAGAAGAAACAAAACAAAATAAAGTGAATATAGAAATGTATATATCTACCTGAAGTATATGTTAACTAGACTTACTTACTCACTCACGCCTGTTACCCTCAATAGTGTATAGGTCGTTGACCAGCATTCTCAAATACACTCTCTGTCCTCGGTCTTCCTTTCTATATCTATCCAATTCATGTTCATTCTTCTTATGTCTGTCTCCATTTCTTTTATCTTCCTCTTCTCCTTCTTTGGCCTTGAGGATTCTAAGTGATGAGAGCTTTCCTTGTGACGGAGTTGGGTGCTTTCCTCTATGTGTGTCTGTGGTGTTTGAATTAACTAATGATTGTTGTACATGTTGCATGCTCGATTTCGAATTCTAAATACAGTACATTCGTTCGTGCTTGTGTCGTTATTCTTGATTCAATTGTGTTAATTCTGGGATTCCTAGTTCATACGATAATTTGAGTACTTTCAAATATTATAGTGTTCTATTCACTTCCAGTGATTCTTTTTTATTTCTTCCTCCGTTGGAATCTGGTTTGTTCTCTCCCAGAGTAGTAGGTTGTTGTTGATAGTGTCTGGGTAAACGGATGCGAGATATTTTGTGTCGACAGTTGTTAATAAACACTTGTATCTTTTAGATAATAGCTTATTGTTATCATTGTAAAAATGTTTACCACACTAAGAGATCATTATGGAGATTATCGAATTTCATTGAAATCATGAACTGATCATAATTAGACAATCATTAAAGACGTGAAAGCATAAGATAGAAATTAAGTCTTAATATGGAACTCATCAGTAATGTAGATCGACGGCCTCATCAACAAATAATCGAAGTTATAAAACTCGGATTCGCACAAGCACGTTTAACCTCTAGACCACTGAATTAGATTTCAATGGTGCACAAGTCTGATTCGAATCAATCTACGGTATTACGCTATCGACTTCTATTGTCTTCGGTGGGTAACTGCCTCATACAACACACAGCTAAACTTTACTGGAAATCCGAAATTTTCTTTTCGGAACTAGTCGCTAGTGAGTACATGACAATGGACACTATAAGATTGCGAAGCTTGTTCAACTTCATTTCAGGCCAAAGATCCTGGGTGGGATTCTCATATGCGGGATCGTGAGTGCCCACTGGTGAAGAGTCTTACACTACAACGGGACGGTCGTCCAGTACTTCCAGGTTTTCAATGGTGATCTGACTTAGATCGGTTCATAATTTCAATAATATTATCTTGCATAGATTGACGGTTTTTTGACATTAAATTGTTTTTGAAGACAGTTTTTGTTGTGGACTGATCTAGCTAGAAAATTTGGGAGTTTTGAATGTTGAACTTTAAAATGAATACAAGTATGAACTGTCAAATCGTTGGATTCAAAATTAATGAAATAAAGGTATTGTGCTAACGAAGTATTTACTAACAATTGTCTAAGCAAGATACTCAATATCCGTTGACTAGATACCATCAGTAACAACCTACTGTGGGAGAGAAAAAACCAGCATCCAGTTGAAGAGGAAATTAGAAAAATATGATGGAACTGGATAGGACATACATTGAGGAAATCATCAAACTGCATCACGAGGCAAGTACTTACTTGAAATCCTTAAGGGAAACAGAAAAGAGGAAGACCAAAACCTACAGTGTACAGGAAATTAAAGGCAAATATCAAAAGAATAAATAGCAGCTGGAAACAACTGGATAGGTTTGTCCAGGACATAGTTGAATTGAGACTGCTGTTAGGTGGCAAAATAATTCAGGTCAACATTTTAATAACGGTTGAAATGAACTTATCTAATTATTTATTAGTTTGAATGGTGCCAAATCAACAAATGATGAAGTGAGTTATACCTTGATAATCACACATTAAAATACAAAAGATTAGAATCTTTTAAAATAACAGTCTGTTGCCTAAGAAGATAGAAATGAACAAAGTTTAAACAATAAATAAGTTATCAGAAGGGGTTTTGTGGAGATTTTAGTCATTTCAATAGTTGAAATCATGAGCCAATTGAAGCTAGACCAACATCGAAAACCTGTATGCACTGAACGTCCGTTTCGTTCTAGTATGGGACACCTCAGCAGTGCACATCCACGATCCCACTTCACGAGACTCGAACCCAGGACCTATCAGTCTTGTGCACGAACGCTTAACCTCTAGAGCACTGAGCCGGCCGGCCGATATCCAACGGTGTTAATGTCTAACTCCAACCAATTACAAACTAATTGTTCCATAGAAACATATTAATTCACTCATTCTTATATGTTAATTAACAGACAGTGACTTGAAAAATGAATAACCATATCACCATACTTCATAGGAAATCAATAAATCTATTTGTAAAGTAGTTTTATAGAAGTTATTTTGGATTACTAATAGTATTTGTTGCGGACTAACATCAGCTTGAAAATCAACGAATAGTTGTATTTGTTCTTGAATGGAACTTTTCAGAAGTACAATGTCATGAGTCCACAAGAAGTCAAAGTGATAAATTACCGTTCTCATACTTGATACTTTAGAATTCAGAATCCTATAGATATAAATTCATCAGATTAACACTATAAGGCACACTACTGAAGTGCTTAAAAACGCGATGAAACAACTATCCAGTACCATTTGGCATATATTGCTTATCCAGTTGATATCAGTATCCACTTGTTGACTTAGAATATGCCGATGACATAGTTCTATTTGGTGAAGACGCTGACAAAATGCAGAGTCTTCTGACCACTAAGCAACAATGCAAGCATGTTCGGCATGCGATTCTCTCCCTCGAAATGCAAAATGTTACTTCACGATTGAGGTGCATCGACACTCGAACTAACGATAGGGAGTGAAGTAGTTGAGCGTGTCGATCGCTTCACTTATCTTGGAAGTCTCATCAGCCGTTGTGGACTAGTGTGTGACGAAATCTCAGTACGGATACAGAAGGCTCGACTAGCTTTTACCAACTTGCGTCATTTATGGCGTAGGCGAGATACCTGTCTATCAACCAAAGGACGTGTTTACTGCGCAGCAGTTCGTTCCGTCCTACTTTATGGCAGTGAAACATGGCCGGTAAGAGTAGGGGACATTCGTAGGTTACTAGTATTTGATCATAGATATCTTCGAAACATTGCTCGTATATCCTAGGACCATTGAGTAAGTAACGCAGTTGTTAGGAAACGAGTACTAGGTAAGGATGGCAAATCAATTGATGAAGTAGTGAAACTTCATCAGTTGAGATGGCTGGGACATGTGTTACATATGCCTCTACAAACCCTACTTTACGTCTGTAGTGATCACGTACATATTAATGATTGGCTTTAAAATATATAATTTATTTTCTGGGAGGGTAACTTGACTACTATAGTTTAATCACATTGTAAATGAGTTAACTATTTATCGAACTTATCAGACGATCATCATGGAATATCATCAGTTGAAAACAAAAGCTTGAAATATAAACGAAAACTGAACTGATCTATGATATCTGTCACCTATTGTGTATTTATAGTTTCTAAAGTATTATGAAACCTGAAAGTCATTCACATTCTATTCATGATGAAATTGTTGGTGAGTATTGTTATGATGACAAAACAATCGTTAGACCACCATTCAAAATCTGAAAGGCCCAGACGGCCACTTCGTCCTAGCTTAGGACTCTTCAGACGTGTTTGGTAGAGTTTAATCCGTGTCGGGTAAAGATAGGTATTTACCTTAGACAATGGATGAATGTTTATGCAGCTATTCATGGACCAATGAAAGTTAGACATTAACATTGTCGGATGCTGACTCAGTGGTTTAGAAGTTAATGGTTTGAGATCGAAGATCCTGGGTTCGAATCTCGCGTACGGGATTGTGAATAACCACTGCTAAGGAGTCTCATACTAGGACGAGAAGGCTGCCTAGTGTTTCCAAGTTTTCAATAGTGGTCTAACATAAATCGATTCACGATCTCAATCAAAAACTTGACAATCTCTACAACTCCATACTAATAAATGAATTGAGTAAAACATATACTCATTTCATATACAATACTTTGTTACTCCTACTTTGTAAACATTTTCCATGAGAATAAAATGAAGAAATTATGATTTATATCCACTTGATATTGTTTTACATGAATCTTCCCATTGATGCTTAACACTACAATTGATCAATCTGTTATTGACATTTGTGTATACTATGTGTATTACCTGGATATTGCTTTAATTCACCCAATTCCATAAGCAAGTGTCTATCAGGACTCAGTAGCTAATTGGATAACATGATGAAGTTTGAAATCAAACGGTACTGTATAAGAGTCCCAGAGTGAACATCAACTCTCTGAGATGCAGGTACATCCAGCTGACGAGTCCCAAATAGAATGAAACGTACATCCTGGATTCCACTGCTAACCACTATCTATTTTTGCTTAAAATTATAATTTATACTTAAAACATTAAACTTTTTATAACCTTTTTGAGAATAATTTCTTGAAAGAAATAAAGGTTCCATTCAAATGAAAAATTCTCAGTTGAACAGATAAAGGAAGTAATAAATATAAAAGTTATTCATAGTTTATAAAGAAATGAATTGGTTCATGATATAATTACATAATCATCTTGTGTTTCAATTCATAATCACAAATAATAGTTATCTTGAATTCTGTAAAAGTGTCAACCACTGACAGAGAATTCTTCATCATTGCCTTCTCGCGGCACCGGTGTTGTTTATGAAATTGAGAGGACGAAAAGTGAATGTCCAGTGTTTTAACCTGGTAGGTGAATACAGAAGATCTACCTAGGGGAGTTGGAAAACCCTGATTCCAAACCAATGGTGTATATAAATTCCAGAATCCTAAGAAAACAAATGGCGTATGAACCAATTATTGGGGACCGACTACCATGGAACTGCATGTCCTTACGATGCCTTACTACCTTGTGAATCAGACCTTTAGGTAGAAGGTTCCGGGTGTGGCCCCCTAAGAAAACCACCTGTTTCGGTTTGGTCATCTGGGCAGCATCCCAGCCCTTACACGGATCAAACGATTTAGGGATTACTAAATACTAATTATATAAGGTATATTATTACCAGAATAAGTCTAAAGTAATGTGATTTGGTAAACTGGTAGTACAATATCGATTATTCTGAATGATTAATTGAAAACAAATTCTAAACAATAATAAGTTCCCAGTTATATGTATCCATAAAAATCAATTTATGTTGATAAACATTTATAACACTCAAAGAGGAGGAAGTGGTCTAGTGGTTAAGCGTGAGCAAGACTGATTGGTCTTGGGTTTGAATCACGAGAGGTGGGGCCATGGATACACATTGTTGAGGAGTCCCACAATAAGACGAAACGACGGTTCAATGTTTTCAGGTTTTTCCATGATGTGATTTAGCTTCAATTGACTCTAGTTAGAATTTATTGATTTTGTAAGTATTACATTACTTCTAAGTGAATAAACTTAATAGTCAATAGAAAGTAATTCAACTCTTTAAGATGGTTTTATATTAGCTGATTATTAGTTGCCATCGAAACAATTTGTTGAATTATGTGAACTTATTAGAAAAAGGCATTGCATTGCATTCATCTATTGGTAGGTTTAATGAATTAGGTGTTGAATATTGTTTCAATACAATTCAGTTCAAGCATTTGACATGGTATCTAATAGAATGAATAAATTTCTTTTCTGGTTAGCGTTTTTTTAGGGAGTTGGTTTTCTTCGGGATGGGGTCTCTAACCCCATGCCTAACCCTCCTCCTTTATCCAAGCTTGAGTCCGTCAGTAGCCCCCGGAGGGACTCCATGCGGGGTTGTATCTAATAGATGATGTATGTTATTCAATAGACAATTTGGAGTATTAACTTGATTAACCATTGATTGTCAGAGTATGACGTTTATAGTAAAACATCAGAAAATGTGATGTGTTTTATTTTGAAATTCTTCTATCATTTACATACTGAGAAGTGAAGTTGTCAATGTTGATTTAGTTGTATGGAGAATTATATGAGATGTTATCTAATGTAATTCTAAGATTGGTGAAGAAGATTTGTAGCTCAAGTGAATGATTTTGATGAAGTTTTGTCCTCTAAACTGGATGGTTTTGTCGTGGAGCTTTCATCGTTCTTCTGTACGACATCATTAAAACAAATTTCAGGTAGAAGTGAAGTGTTCGAATCTCTTCACATATTACTCAGAACGTGTCCTGTAGACCTTGATGTTGATTAGTTCTTGTTAACCTTAAACCTGTCAATGTTTACTTCTTTGTTTTGGTTATATCCCCTATTGGTTTAACTTTTACGTGAAGTTTCTGTTGACGATGTCGTTCAGGAGAACGATGAAAGTTCCGCAAAACAACGATCCAGCTCATAGGACAAAACTCCATCAAAATATGACTATAGATTATCATTTTATTCATTGAGAATAATAATAGTAACTATCAAAATATGTAAAAGCACCTTTAGCCTGTATATTTAGAGGTTTAATCAAACGCAATTGTAAATCAACAAACGAATTAACTCAACTAACTATAACTATAATAGATCGTTTTCACTAGTGTTCATCTTCTGTTATCATTTTGAAATAAATTAGGTCTCTTAACTTGTAAATATTAAGCTAATATCTGAAGTCAATCAATTACAACATAGGATCAGGCACATATATACATCGGTCCAACTTGCCATACTTTACTCATTAGCACAACATGACGAACACCGGATTCATAGAAGCAGTTAACTCAATGGTGTAATATGTAAAGGGAAGATTGCATATGAGGAAGGAGGAATTAGTTCATAGAAAGAAAGATATAAAGCGATTTTAATCTCACGATTTAAGGGAAGACAGAGAATGTATACACCGACGCAAATGTGATCGATTCTGAGCCATGTCACCAAGAGTTTCCAACCATTGGTAATCATAGTCGCGAGGACCCCAACCAAGTAATCTGCACCTACCAACATGGCTAAGACTAGAAGTTAGTAACTTCAAGGACTGATGTCATGTTTTGAATTGATCACACCTAACTTTCTTCCAATCATCCCCAACACTAGTCTTACATTATACATCGTGATAATCGATGTTCAGGCATACATAACGCGTGACCTAATCATCTTAGTCGATGAAATACTTAAAGTAGTATGATGAATATGCTGAATAGAAAAGAAACGGGAAAAAAGACACACACACACACACAGAATGAATACCTACCTCTATCTGTAATTGTTCAGTGAATTGTAGTGTCATTTTCTTCTTAGAACATTCTTTATATTTATGATTATTACATGAAAATAACCATGATGAATTGTCTAATCGAAATTTTCTTAAAAAATCTTTACGATATTTTGAATTATTTTTAGTTGTTAATGAATTTTCACAATGAATCATATTTACTTGATGAGGAGGATAAGGTGGAGGATAAGGTGGAGGCGGATGATCATTCGTTGATAATTCAGATATTGAATAAGTTACTGATGAAGTTGTCAACGACAAGTCACATGAATCTGATCCTGATGAAAATCTTGATGATGTTGACGAAGATGTTGATGAAGAAGGTGATAATGATAATGACAAAGATTTTCTACATCAACATAAACTGTCTTCGTTTAATATTATCCAAATTCATGTTGTTGTTGTTGTTTTGTTATAATGAATATTTAAGTGTTTCAAATGAATTTTCTTTAAATCTTTAAGTTGTTCTATACATGACAACAATTCGAATGATTATTCTTCACATGAATCATTTACTTTAATACATTTGAACTAGATTAGTGGATTAAAACTATAGTCAATCTCTTCGTTTACTATAGATGACATGTAACTAAGTAAGTAATTAGGTAGGTAAGTAGGTAGGTAAGTATAGGTAGGTAGTTTAATGCTGAAAGACCTCCTTAATAAAATGTAATGAATATACACCTATTTGATCATCTTCAGAAATGATTTTGTTACTAAGGGATACACATGCATACTTACATACCTACATAGTTATATGTATGTATGTATGTATGTATGTGTATATATGTATTTGTTTATCAGTTTTTACATAGAGATGGTTATTGATTGTTTCTAAGTGAGAAAATGATGATGATGATGATGATGATTCTATGAAAGTGAATAAATTGTCGAATAGACAGACATATAGTAAGACATACTCATTCATGATACCCTATCTACAATATAATACTGATTGTATGCATTTATGTTTAAAGAGAATCAGAGTAAATGAATAGATTTAAACAAATTAAAACATAACATTAATATTTAATAATAATTTAAAGAAGAAATGATGTCAAGAAATAAGTAATTGAAATTCTAAGAATTTAACACCGCCTGGAACTCCCTACTCCTCCCCGGTGGTTACAGCCGGTTTCAAGACCGGTTAAAGGAGGAGGATTTGATATGGGGGGGGGGTTAGTGACCGTATCTCGTAGAAAACTAATGCTAATCAGAAAAAAAAAGAATAATTCAAATTGAGACTTTGATCAGTGAAAACCAGAAATTATGGAATAATCGTTGGAAATATATACTAATTTTCAGTGATTTAAAGGTTAAGCACTTTTTACGAAGGGATCTTTGAAATAAAAACAGCACATGTCTAGTACATTCTGGTTTATATTGATTATCTTTATTTATTTATTTGAACACATAAATATTCGTATAAAGGGGCATGGGATACATATGTGTGTAGACTATGTTACTGCTCACGTGACCAAACCAAAGCAGATCGTTGTTTTAGGAGGCCACACTAGGATTAGACCTCCAATTTAAAGGTCTAATTCATAAGACAGTAGAGTAACGTTAGGAGATGCCGTTTCATGGTAGCGGATAATCAATAATTGGTTCATACACCATTTGTACCCTCAGGATACTGGAGCCCATGTACACCATTGGTTTGGAATCAGGGTTTTCCAACTCGCTTAGCTGAACTATCCGTGTCCACTAACCCGGTTAAAGTGCTGGACATCCACTTTTCGTCCTCTCAATCTCGTAAACAACACCTCCGCCACGAGAAGGCAATGAGTAGGACTTCCCTGGCAGAGGCTATGTACGCGTGGCCATGTGAGAGCATTTCGAGAGAGGGCATTCGGGGGCATAAATGTATTCTGCCTCTCTCTGGTCATGAATTACTTGGAATCTTTAAATTAGATTTATGTTTAATTTTTATATAGATAACATTCCGAGAGAGAACAAACATAACAACGAATTTCAATTCATATCCACTAGTTATTTGGATCTTCCCATTGATGTTTAGGACTGTAATTGATCAGTCTCTTATTAGCATATGTACATCCTTTTCAGATTGATCCGATGATCATAAGCAATTTTAAAAGAGATGAATGATGGCTAACAGTAGAATCCAATATGTGCATTTCATCCTATTCGGTACTCATTAGTTAGATATACCTGTATCCCAGTGTTAATGTTCACTTCGAGACTCGAACACAATACTGTTCACTTCAAACGTCATCTTTTCAGTGGTTATTTTATAATCATAATTTTTCAATTAATTTTATGTCATAAATTCAATAACAGGTTTTTACGTCCAAACAAATATACTTCGAAAGAATACTGGAAAGAAACTTTTGTCTGTCAGACAGTTTTTAGGCTATTTACCGAACATTTGAAATGGTCATTCTCGTTCATTTATGTGGAAAAGTTCCATAAATTATGTATATAATTAAAGTGAAATAACCTAACCCCTTTATCAGAGCATTTAATTCACTTCTTTGTTCTATCTGATTGCATAATAATCATGATTATGACAGTTGCAAATTCCTTAGACGCTATTTTGAGAAACTTTGTAATGACTTTGCTTCGTTAATCAAGCACCATTTTAACGGTTATCATATCAATCTTAATATGGAGGACTGCGTAGACGCCCATCTTCTTGACCAACAGGCAGGATTCCGTAAGGATAGATCGTGTACAGACCAAATTGCAACTCTACGGATCATTGTGGAACAATCAATTGAATGGAATTCATCACTCTACAGCAACTTCATTGACTACGAAAAGGCATTTGATAGCGTGGACAGAACAACACTATGGAAACTTCTTCGACACTACGGCGTGCCTCAGAAGATAGTCAATATCATACAGAACTCATATGATGGATTACACTGCAAAATCGTGCATGGAGGACAGTTGACAAAGTCGTTCGACGTAAAGACCGGTGTCAGGCAAGGTTGCTTACTCTCACCCTTTCTCTTTCTCCTTGTGATCGACTAGATCATGAAGACGTCAACATCTGAGGGAAGCATGGGATACAATGGACATCTAGGATGCAGTTGGACGATCTAGACTTTGCTGATGATCTGGCCCTTCTATCCCAAACGCAACAACAAATGGAGGAGAAGACGACCAGTGTAGCAGCAGCCTCAGCAGCAGTAGGTCTCAATATGCACAAAGGGAAAAGCAAGATTCTCCGATACAACACAGCATGCAACAATCCAATCACAATTGACGGAGAAGATTTGGAAGATGTAAAAACCTTTACATATTTGGGCAGCATCATTGATGAACAGGGTGGATCTGATGCAGATATGGAGGCGCGGATCGGCAAAGCAAGAGCAGCATATTTACAACTGAGGAACATCTGGAACTCAAAGCAACCGTCAACCAACACCAAGGTCAGGATTTTCAATACAAATGTCAAGACAGTTCTACTGTATGGGACGGAAACCCGGAGAATTACGAAAGCCATCATCCAGAAAATACAGGTGTTTATTAACAGTTGTCTACACAAAATACTTCGGATCCGTTGGCCGGACACTATTAGCAACAACCAACTGTGGGAAAGAACAAACCAGATTCCAGTGGAGGAAGAAATCAGGAAGAAGCGCTGGAAGTGGACAGAACATACATTGAGGAAATCACCCAACTGCGTCACAAGACAAGCCCTCACATGGAATTTGAAGGTCAAAGGAAAAGAGGAAGACCAAAGAACACATGACGCCGAGAAATGGAGATGGATATGAGAAAAATGAACAAGAATTGGATGGAATTAGAAAAGAAGACCCAGGACAGAGTGGGTTGTAGAATGCTGGTCGGGGGCCTATGCTCCATTGGGAGTAACAGGCGTAAGTAAGTAATATAAATCTTAATGGTGTTTGAAATCAGAAGGTAATAAGAAGTGGCAGCTACAGTTTATTAGCGGATAGTACAGACAGCAAAGTTATAAGAACATTGAGCAAATTTGAGGCAGAGAAAGAATGTGTGTGTATGTTTGTGTGCAACGACAGAGGCAAATTTATGGTCAAATCAAATAAGGCGCAAATAGGAAAGCCAAAGGCTAATAATAGGATTTGAGTACATATATACATGCGGAAGAGAAGGATCCATAAAACGATATTTGAGCTATCAACATTTAAGTTAGAGAGAGATGTGCGTAGGTTGCCACATGTGATCAAACATACATGTTTATACAGATATGATAGTGATCATAATAGTACAAAGAAATATACTAATTATTACTATTCAAATAACATTGTCTGTTAAGTAAGTTAGTAAAGGAGTTTAACCGAAATAAACCATAATCTAAGTTGATTGTAGAACAGTTGCTATAACTTCACCGAGATGAAAACTTAAATCATAATAGATTTTGTTGGCACACTAATATCTTGAAGTCAAATCACCTAATAGAAATGACTAATTTTAATGAGAAGCTCTTTTCAAATAAGCCAAATTAACTGTATAATAAATCTAATAGAGTTCGACTCAGCAATACTTAATCCTGATACTAAACGAGTTTACGTTATGTTTTTAGGAAGACTACACATGCAAAATGATATCGATTGGACAGAAATTGTTTCTAACATTTTTAGCTACTTAATTTTTGTTAGTAGTAACATTTTATTCCTTAAAATTAAAAAGCTGATGTAGCATTTTAAGAATGTAGATAAACAAAATAAAATATTTTCATTTCAATTAAAATGGATCATCCAGTCCTCTAGTGAATAGTACCTAAAAGCTAAGAGCATATATTTTCCAAATGTATATAAGTATTCATTGTTTGTTGTCGGAAAGAATTTGTACGACTGATTTGCTTTAAAACTGTTGACTAGAAATAAAAAACAGGATTTGAGGAAACTATTTTAAAAATTGCAAGTTTAGGTGAAATAAGACTTATTTATTAACTATTCCATTTTGATACTTCTATTCCTCCTTGAATAATCAAATTAATGAGTCGATCTAAGCTAAACCACCATTGAAATAAGATCAAATGTTAGGAGGCCCTTGGAGAAAGGTTGGAGACCAGAAAGAATTTCCTGAACTAGTTTATAAAATCCATCAGAATCTAACAATAGGATCATTAGCCGTTTAGATTTACAGATAGTATCACAATTATGTATGTTGAAGAGTAGCTTCTTACAAAGTAAACCACATCGTACCGTAAGAGATGTACAATACAAATACGTTCAATGCTTTATCACTAGCACTGTGAGTCTGAGCCTACTACAGGGCTCGAAATGACAGAGCATTTATTATTTTGTAGAACATTAAAAAGCTTTTACGAAAAGGAGGTGTGATAATGATTCTACGGAAAGTTTTTCACATCTGGTTGTGTAGTCGGTGGTTGGGTATGGTGTTTGAGTGAACTAATGATACCTTTGTACTTGTTGAATACTTGATTTCGAATTCCAAATACAGTACATTCGTTCGTGTTTATCTAGTACTTCTTGATCCGATTACGTTATTTCTGGGATTCTTAGTTCATACTATAATGTAAATGCTCCTAATCATCATATTGTGTCTTTTAAGTAGATTAGGGGATCACTCAGTTTTGCTAAT